AGCAAGCTCTCTGGAGGTTGTGCTCACTAACTGGATGAAAGGCAAATGGTTTACCTCCATTACTTTATTTCTGTTTAACTTAACATCCAGCCAAGGACTTTACAGCTGTCTCTTGCAATGATTCCTACACATAGCAAATGATTGAAAGAAAAAGTGGGCTGGCGCGACAGCTTAGTGGCTAAGGCGCCTGCCACGTACACATGAAAGCTACAGTGCCCCTGTAAGAAGCTGAGCATGTGATGTGCTGTGACCCCAGAGCTGGGCCATGCTTGCCTGTCCATCTAGCTGAATCCCTGAATTTTAGGCTTGTTAAGAGACTCTATCTCGGGCCTGTGAGATAGATGGGTGAGTGGGTAAAGGTGCTTGCTGTCAAGTCTGACAGCCTGAGTTTGATCCCTGGGTCCCAGTGGTGGAGCATGATATGCTGTGGCATGTCCCCACAAGTAAATAAATAAATAATAAATAGGTAATTAAAAATATATAAATTGCTACTAAGACAAGTAAATGATCTGAGCTTGAACCACACCTGCTCTTCAGTCAAGAATCCTTGTGGCAACAAGTGGATTTATTTATTTATGAAATGAAATGAAATTTAGAACCTGAAATTTCATGAGAGAATTAGGCCCCCCTATCAGACAGATCCTGGAGTTCTGGAGTTCTTGGGAGAGCAGAGTGGCCACTTGGTGGCATGAGTTTTCCCCATTAGTTGTAATTATTCAGAGGAAAGAAAGCTATGGAACTGTTTTGTAAAGGGGGCTAGACTCTATCTCACTGCAACAATTGTCTTTAAAGACACATGACACGGGGCTGGATTCTGGGGGCCTGGTACCCCTAATCCCGAGGAAGCCTGACATTCCCACACTTAGACCTCTCTGGAGAGGCAGCCTGTTCTCAGACCACCCATGTGCTGCTACTACAGAGCAGGAAGGCTACTTCACAACCAAGGACACAATCTATTTATTTATCTAGTTCAAGATTTAGGGCCTGAGAGTAGAGCTGGAAGAGACAGAAGAGAAGGGAAAATGGGGAGGTCCGGGCTCCAGGAGGCTAAGTTCCACGGCACAGGCTCACCCATGGAGAAGATATCCTATGGAGCAGCAAGATGTCTGCAGGAGCAGTGATACAGATGCCACCTGTAGGTTAAGACAGATCTGCAACTTACATTTCTCCATGTCCCAAGGATTTTGCACAATACAGATCTTTTTTACACACCTCCACGTATCAGAATCACCAGGCAGCAATGAAACAGCTGTACTCCATGGAAAAAAAATTATTATAATTAATTTTAGAGACCGTGCCTTACCAATATGGTGTCCCATCTGCCCTGAGGTAGCATCGGGATTGGTGTTTCACCCACGTTATTATCAACTCTTGCTATTGTTTTCTGTATTTAAAAATAAACACTCTCATACAATTGGTGTCTCTCCCACACGAGGCTTAAAGATGAATTCAGATTAGTACACCATAGAGTTTACACTTTCAAACCGCAAATCTTGCCTGCAAGATCCTGTTTGTGGGTGGAATCCAGAGCTACCACAAGGAAGGTACTTATGGCTGCCTGACTTTCCCTCAGCACTGCACCTTAGAGGGGTAAAGTTCATTTTTCCCTAGCTAGGAACAAACAGAGCACCAGGCTCTCGGCTTCAATCCCAACCAAAACAATCCCATAGCAGAGAATGGGAATCATTTGGCCCACCTTGCTGTTAAGACTTCTACCCACATCTACCCACTTCTACCCACATCTACCTCTAGTCTCACCACAACGTTCCCATGGGAGACAGGCTTTTCACACAGCACTGACCAACATTTCTCCATGGTGCCAGGATTCTACACAAGAGGAGCTAGAAAACGTATAGGAACACATGCTACAACAGAACCGTGACTGCGTCGGCGTGCAGTTTGTGTCTGTGGAATAACAAATCCATGTGGCTCTTCCCACACCGTGAGGGCGTTGTGTGCACGCGCCCGAATCCCGCTGACACAGGTGCTGCCACTCACTCGTGATTCCTTCTGTGTTTCACTTTCACAGGCTGGTGGTTCGATGCCTGTGGCCCTTCCAACTTGAATGGACAGTACTACCCACAAAAGCAGAGCACAAACAAGTTCAACGGCATCAAGTGGTACTACTGGAAGGGGTCTGGCTACTCGCTCAAGGCCACCACCATGATGATTCGGCCAGCTGACTTCTAAATGCCTGCCTGCGCCGCCAGAAGGGCGGACTGTGGCCAGAGATTAACCCCTGAAGCACTGAGAGGCACCAATGCACAACAGCCCCCTTCTGTGTCAGGAGGCGCTCCTGCGGGTCGGGGAGGATCTGTGTGTGCCAGACTGGAGCACATTGCTTAAGCCTGCACTGCTAAAGAACCAAAGGAAACACAAAGGCACTGCGTGCGTGCGGGCTGGGAAACACCTGTGGGAGGGTGATGCTGACGCTGAGAATCAGAGGGACAGCATGCAGATTCTGCCACAAGGAAGAGGGTTCCCTGAGCGCTCATCAGAAAATAACTGGAAAACGGAACGCTTAGACCATGCAGATAATCCTGGGACCAGACTCCTCTATGCACAGTTTACAGACTGTATAAATGTGCAGCATGGCTGTCTCAATGACAAGACACCAGCGTGACATAGAGACAAATGTCCTCTCAGGACAGCAGCGAGTATTTGGGGAGCTGAAAGCGGTGGTAACAGGTTAACATCGGGAGAAGCACAGTGTATTGTTTTCCTCTTAGGTGCTTTACATTTTCATTCGAAGACAGCACATTTACCTATCTCGACGGCTTAGTTTTTAAGGGCTGGATACTATTTACTATATGGTGGAAGCGCCCACATTTCTGGAATTACCACCAAGCGGGCACCATGTTGGTGTGTGTGGAGACTGAAGTGTTTTGTTTTCTGCCTGGCTGTTAAATATGAAGGTATTTTTAGTAATTAAATATAAGTTATTAGTTGAGGTGATGTCTAATTTTTATGATAATATTTACAATTTTGTTCTTTGGTCACACACACAAAATCTCTGTGCCTCGTGACACAGGTTTTTAATGAGGAAAACGCAGTTTCATGGTGAAGAGGCTTTGCCATTGGGTCAGTATTCGATCCCACAGATCTGCTCCTTTGTTTACTGAGATATATTTTACAAAATGAAGCTAAATGTAATTTGTGATTGAAAAAAAAAAACATCCCACATAGGACATCTACAAAGCAGTAATTCTCTGAATTAATTTATAGAAAACAATAATTTGCCTTAGCAGCACTTTTATATTCACTAACAAACTGAACACGTGTTTCAGCATATAAAGCCAAAATGTCCCTCTCACAGTATTACCAGATAGCCCTAGAAAAAGTTTCAGAGCACAACTTTCTGCTTGGAACTGTTCAACCTTAGTTCCCTCTGGTCCAGCTCCTCTGAAGCCTGCAGAGTGTGTTCTTATCAATGAGCACCTACAGCCTCCTTACCTGTCTGTCTTCACGTCTATTACCTTTTAAAGTTCTCTAACCCAGTGGTTCTTGTGCTGGCCCCTGACCATAACATTATCTCATTGCCACTTCACAACTGTCATTTTGCTTCTGTTATGAATCTAATATGCAGCGTATCTGATATGTGACCCCAAAGTGGTCACAACCCACAGGGTGAGAACCAGTGCTCTAAGCCATCTTCTTTCACACAGCCTTGGTGTTAGGAACCCCACACCCTGCTCTGTGCTCCGGTCAATCCGCAGACTCAGGGTGGGCAGGGTGCCCTGCTCTTCTGCCACATCAACTTCCTGCCAACTAGCACCAGAGTGAAGAACTCTGTCCCTGCGTTCTGACCACCGCTTCTGCTATTACAGTTAGGAAATGTCCATGGGGCCAACATGGCTTTGTACCCAGTTACAACCTCTGACAACAACAACAACAATTGCACAGCTTCAAAACAGCACTATGTTTCTTGAACGGCCACAATGGCAGGAACTGAGGTGGGAAACCCATCACCTGGGAAGAGCCGGCAGCAGCACGCTTCACTTAGAGCAGTCTCTCATGAGCGCAGGAAGATGGATGTCAAAGGTAAACCTGAGCTGCTCAGAGATACACATACTCTCTTAGCTCAGAGAATGGGAGGAATCCGGGCTTCCACTTTATACTTCAGTTCCTTACACAGTATTTTAAATAAACAAACTGACTAGGAGAACTTTTTTTTTTTTTCTGTTCTTAAGAAAACATTTGCAAAGTTGAAAGGAAATCAAAACAGTAATCTTAAAAATGAAAACAAAACAATGCAACAAGCTAGATGACTGAGCGATTAGGGAGCAGAGTTCAGCTTCCTGCTGGGTCCCCGGTGCAGAGCCACTTGGCCTGCTAGGCAAGAGAATGGGGACAGCCAGAACAGCACTGTCTTTCAGAGGCTCATCTTTTCAAACAGTAAACTATCTCAGACCAATCAACGTGTTTGCAAATGAAAGCCAACTTCTGTCTAGCCCTGCTTCCAGTCAAACTGTAATTATTTGAGAAGTTAGAATTCAATTAGCAAATATTTAAAACATTTAAGAGTCTATAAAGGTAGAGTTTAGGAAAAACATCAAAATATAAAGACTTCATCACAATGTTGGCAGGCTATAATTTTTATATCTATTACTTTTATTTGACTTAGCATTAGGTTTAAGAGTTGTACAGTCCTATAGGCTTTCATAATTAAATTATTTTAGATTTTTTTTTTTTGAGAAAAGGTCTCTCCCTATAGCACATGATAGCATCAAACTTGCAATAACCCATCCAGTTCAGTTTGCTAAGTGCTGGACTGTCCGACTTAAGCGAAAGTCCTCAAGGTGACATTTCACACTGTACCTTACAAGTGTCTTCCTCAAGTTTTCACATGTGACATCACAAATAAACAAACAGAAAGCATTCATTCCTGGGATGACGACATCCTTTTAGTCAGAGTGAGGCCGCTCGTAACCTAAGACACTCATAATGGTTCCCTAAGACTACTACATTGCTTTTACAACCATTGGACAGCGCTGACTTACCAGAGCTGCAGGAAAGGTTTCGGAGAGTTCAAAAGGCTCCTCAGAAATCCAGTGACCCCATTCTAAAGAGTACAGTACCTAAGGGGGACACAACACACAGAGAACTTCAATCATGGGTGGATTAGACTGTTGGGTGGCAGGTCAAAGTCACTTTGATTAGAGCAAAACCAAACACCCTCAAAGCCCAGCATCGCCAAGCTCCAAGGCCTGAAATCAGCCACACAATTTGCTGGAAGGTTTTGGCAAGCTTCATGGTGTCTGTTCCAGTCATTAGCAAACACTTTATTTAAAAAAAAAAAAGCATCTCACTGTGACTAGAAATAGAGGTCAGTACCCTGCTTGGTGGTGGTTTCTCCCATACCCTACCAGAAACAAGAAATGTTATTGAGGCTACCAGTTCAAGGATATAGTCCCTCATGGTAGGGAAACCAAGGCAGCAGCTTGAAGCCGTGGTCACACTGCATTCAGAGTTAAAGAGCAGTGAGAGAGGAATGTTGAATGCCTGAGCTTAGATGGCTTCTCCTCTTTATGCAGTATGGGGCTCAAGCTCAGGGCACAGTGCTGCCCTCCATTAGGCTGGGTTAGGCCACCTCACTGGACCCAATGAAGACAGTCTCACACAGGTAAGGACAGAGGCTTACCTAAATAGGATAATCCCACAAGTGTGCCTGAAAGTTGGTCTCCTAGTTGACTTCACATCCTATCAGGTTAACAGTACTAACATAGTCTCCTAATGAAACCAAATACTTAAACACTATTTTGCATTTATACAAAACACTGTTAGAAATCCAAGTCTTTAATTCATTGTCCTTTAGAATCTTCCATAAATATCCCATGATTTTATGAACTTAAAAAAAATGAGGTGAGGGCTGGGGAGATGGCTCAGTTGGTCAAGTGTGTGCCATGTGAACAGAAGGACTTGACTTTGAACTCTAGAACCTGGGTGAAAAAGGGGGTGAGGTACATTTGTGTTCTGCTGCTGGACTGGTAGAAGCAGTACTCTGGGAAAGGTGGCAGGTAGGGCTGTGGGGGAGGGCCCAGCACATGCCAAAAAAAAAAAAAAAAAAAATTCCCAGGAGCTAAGAGTCAGAAGAGAGGAGAAGCAGCTATGAGAGTGTTGAGCTCAAGACAATAGGAGAGAATGGAGGAGAACATGGGAAAACATATCTCCATTAGGAACAGGAAAACAGCCAGCTCTGCTCACAGGAACCCTGCTCAAGGAAAATAACACATCTTCAATTAGATACCTGTGACAACAGATATCTTGTCATTTAACTGTCTTTTTTGTTTTCTCCTATCTTTTACTGCCCAAGTGACATTGGAGGGAAGGCAGTAAAGGGTAGGGATTGTGGGGGGGGGGGGTGGAGAAGAGAGGAGAAAGAGCTTAAAAAGTTCAAGTACTCTGTGGGTTAAAAGCATTCCCATTGCAAAGTATTCCCCGTCGGCCGCCCCGTGCCACCCATCCTTTAGAGACACAGGGTCGACACTGTGGGTCTCCATGACCTCGTATAATCAGGCCAGGAGATAAGGTGCAATTTCAGCATCAGGCTCATGTCAACATGCAACAGAGGTAGACTCTGTGGTGGTAAATGGGGTGTACCAGTGAGAGGCCAGGAGTCAGCCACACAAATGAGTGCAGCACTGAAGTTCAAATCCAACCTGCACTAAAATGTCAGCTAACAACTTCATGGGGAAAATTCACGTTCTCTGACTTTTTTCCTTTCTAAATGCTAAGAAAATAAAACTGTAAGTTTGCTAAGCAAATGGATAAATTTAAGAATAAATGCTGCATAAAGGTAGCAGAAAATACTGATTTGATTTCACTAAAATAACAGAATGAGAAATACAGAAAAACAAACAAACAACTTTGTTCTTTAGCCCTTTCTTTAGGCAAGCCCAGATCTGTAGCTCAGTATAATATTCAAAATAGGGGAAATTTGTTTTTAAGGATTTCAGGTGGCCGTGTGAAGTAATCTTATACAACCCCACATATTTCTCAGAAAATACTGAGTAGGACAAAAGTAACTGAGAAACTAAACGCAGCAAGGAGTGGGGTTGTATGCAGGGGATTACATCTTCGTAGGGGAAGCCTACCTCTAGGCTCCACCTCAATGACAACTCAGCACCCTGCTCGTGACACTAACACATTAGACACAGTAGATAATCATTAGAGTACCATTCACAAAACCCAGACTTTGTTGATGAACCTTTCTTTATTCTTAGGATTACCTAGATGATGTCCCTTCATAGAGGGCTATGTAGTTCACTCCATACCAGGGAAACAAATTTCTCTATCTCAAAAGACTTGTATATATATATATATGTATATATATATATATATATATACATATATATATACATATACATATATATATACATATATATATATACATATATATATATACACACATACATACATATAGACAAGACATACATTCGGGTGTTTTGTCTGCATGTCAAAACACCCTGTAGAGGGCACTGGATCCCACTGAACTACAGTTACAGATGGCTCTGAGCTGCCGCTTGGGTGCTGGAAATCAAAGCCCAGGCCTCTGGAAGAGCAGACGGCAGACGGTGCTCTGACACACGGAGCCATCCCTCCATCCTCCATGCTTCTTCTTGTTATGCATGTTTTAATAATTCTCTTGGGCAGTGTGAGGCAGTCTGGCTGCAGTGGGGGAAGCTAGAAAGTGGTGCTGTTCTTAGATGCAACTGGAGGTGCCACTATATATCAGGAAGAAAATGCAGCTGAAATATGACTGGTGTAGCAAAATAAGCACACATTTGGTCCCACAAGGGACTGAAGGAGGGACACAGTGCACAGAAGAGACAGCATGACTGAGTTTGGGAAAATGCAGAGCAGATGGAAGAATGGTGGCCAACTGGGGAAGGCAGAAGCACAAGTGTCTGGAGAAGGAAGGTGACAGGAATATTTAAATCCTTCTGCAGAGTCCCAAAAGCTGGAACAAGGGAACTTGGGGGGAAGGGAGAGAGAGGAAAGGTCACAGGAGTAGCTCCTTTCCTGAAGCAAGATGAGGGTGAAGTTCATGGATTTTCTGAGGGCTGCGAAACCTGGACGGTTCCTGCTGCTGCTGGGATGTCACCCTGAACACAGGGACAACCGCCCTCAGGTGAGTGTTGGGCAGTATTTCTGGGGACACATATCCAGGAAAAAAAAAAAGCACAGGAATGCTGAGATTTGTCACCTCTCCATCCACAGGACAGCCAGGGCTGCAGTCAGGCTGTGGGATCCATTCTGGTACCTCTGAGTTGGGTCCAGCTTCACCCCATTGGGAAGCACCCACCGCATAGAAAATCAGAGAAGACAAAACTGGCAGCGGGATGTAGCAGGACAACATTTGCCTGTGCACCCGAGTTCTGAGAGAGGCAGAACAACCAAGGGTTCACAAGCGGCAGCTCCAAGAAATTGGAAGCAAAGTGTTCTCCGATGTGTAGACATCTCTGAGAGAATTTTAGTACACCTACAAAAAACTCAGTGAAGGGTGTGCACTAACAATGGAAAAATTAGTCACCGACTCAAGAGAATCAGCAAACTTCCATAAATTCTATGGATCCTAGTAAATTAGACAGCTTAGTAGCCATGATGTTCAAATGGTGCTCCTGTGTGTGTGTACCCACAGGTGTGCAAACATCATGGTCAGAGGACACTGTGGGCCCAGGCAACTGAGCTCATGATGCCAGGCTGTGCCTTTTACCTCTGAACCATTTTCATGGCTCCCAATTTTATCATATTTTCTTAATGGCTTAGAAAAAAATATCAAGGAAAAAATAATCTTTGTTCACAAAGCATATCCTAAGCAGAGACCCTAAGCAAGGCTTCCTTAAATTAATTTCCAACTTCTCAAGAAATATTTTTAAAAAGGAAAAAAATAGCAAATTATTTTAATTAAAAGTGATGGTGGATGTCTTGGCCTACAGCAGAAGCTAATCTGTAAGAGAGACTTTTGAAGGCTGGGCTTGAGAAAGTTAATGGCTCCATTCAGCAATGATTAAGTGCTGACATGAAATACAACATGAAGCTGATTCAAGTCACTTGACAGCATTGCTGTAGGTCATGCTGAAACATTTACGAACAACCACGATTTTGATGAACAATCTTACTGTAACTGTACTATAAAAACAAAGTTTATTCCAGAGTTCCAGATAACCAGCCCCTCAGCTTCTACTTTGGGGCCCACTTAGAGAGAGAAAACAGATCTCCAGCTGTGATATTAAAAATTCAACTTCGCAGGTTGAGGATAGAGTCTGAGTTGACAGTGATTGCCTGGCATGCAGGGAAGTCCTAGGTTCAAGCCCTAGCCTGGCATGAACAGGTGTGGCGACAGGAACATCTGCAGCCAGGATGTGGAGGCAGTAGCGTCTCAAGTTAAGAGCATCACCAGCTACAGAGGCTGCTGAAAAGCTAGACTAGTCTGGGCTACCAGAGCTCCTGTCTCAATAAAACAAAATCCAACAGCAACCGGCACTGTGAACTCCTTTAGGGATCCTAGCAAGGGAGGAGCAAGAGGGTGCTTCTTGCAGGCTGCATAAAGCAACAGCTAATTCACTAAGTCAAGACTGACAGACATTGACTGGTAGCCACAGATTTAATCTGTGGGAAGCTAAGTAATGTTACAGTATTCAAGGCCTGCTTCATGTCCTCTGGGTCAGCGGATGGAATAGGTGCTGTCGCATACATGGCGTTTTGTCTCCTTTGACCTTTCAGTGCCATGGGGCTCTCTGCTGCCATCTACCTACTATCTTCCCCATCAACTGCGGCTTACAGTACAGAAACATGTTCAGCATTGTCAAGAACAATGAAAGTAACTTATGAAGCTGTTATTTGTTAAAACCACAAATTTCAAATTATAAGTATCTCCCCACCAGATCTCATGGTCTTAGTCTCAATGATTAGGGTGATTTTTCTCAAATGGCAGAAACTGGACATGTACATCATTTTAGCTGTTTGAGGGTAATGGATAAAGTTTGTGATTTTTCCCAGCTAGGCACTGTAAAGAACTGATTAAACACAGAGAATGCAGACAGCTTGGGACAAAGGGCAAGCTGGTTAATCCTTC